AAGCAACTCCATTTTTCCTCACCTTTTCATCTCCAGAGTAATATATCATATGGTCATCTGACTCAAAATGTCCCATGCCAGTCCATCTCATCTCCCCAGTGCCTAGTATGTCAATATTTATGTGTTCCATTTCTTCCTTAACAATATCTAATTTTCCTACATTCATGGTTCTCACATTCCATGTCCCAGTCACCAATGTCTGCTTACAACTGTTCCTCTTCCTTTGTATAAATAAAATAGTTTTGGAGTCTTCAGTAATTTTTAGCATTTAGAAATGTGCCAAGACTTTGATTTGGAAAACTGTAGACTTAAGTTATGTTTCCATTACTCAACTATTAAGGTGAGGGAAATGTCATTTTATTATTGGTTATGCCTGGGCTATGTCCTAGCCCAGAGGGTAAGGGATTAGCTATACACCTAATAAATTGAACTAAGTCCGAAGCCCAATGGATGTGGGTATTATGTGTGTGTGTGTGTGTGTGTGTGTGTGTGTGTGTGTGTGTGTTTGTGTCTGTGTGTGTGTATAAATATTGTATATATATTAATATAAATAAATATATGCTAAATTGGAGACCTTAGTATGAACTGTATTACCAGAGTTCCCTCTGCTCTTTCTCCATCAGTTTTCAACATTGCCATTTTTTGAGGATTATACCTTTTATAAGATATAAATTTATACCTTTAATATCACCTACACAGGTGAATATATGAATATTCATTTGTTGATAGACAGAACACACTAAGTGTGTTCTCACAATTTGCAAATGTACAAACTACTTACTTATATCATTGCTTACCTGGTGAAATAAAACAACCAGAAACAAAACAAGTTTAATTTCTTTAAAACAACCAATGAAACAAATGAAGCATTGCTTTCACTCCCTCTTTAATTCAAAGATATATATGGAAGTAAGATGGTATTTCCTAGCAAATGAAAGGCTTATTAAATACATAAAAGGAAAGTGAGATTTATTAAATGGAAAAGTATTATTAAGTTCCTATAATCTATTTGATTTCTTAAAAAGGCTATATCTATGTAGTCTTCCATTTTTAGAATTAATTATATATAAGGAAAGATAGCCCCAACTTAAAAATGGACATGTATGGAGTTTAATTTAACTTTTTAAAAAAAACATTAAAAACATCATTGTTTTTCTTACATTATTAGTGATCTTTATGTAACTAAGCATAGCTGAAAGCCCAGATTCCTCAGGGAGAAAAAAGTACTTTTTGTCTCTTTAAAAGCAATGTACAAAATGGAAATAATTTTGTTAAAATAATTTCATTTTACTCAAAATTGACTAATAATCAGGACACATGTGGTTTACAGCAATGCTCATGTAGTGTTTTATGCTTAAAATGAACTTAAGTAAAAATTTTAAAATGTTAGGAACCATTAAGTGAATTTGTGTAAGAAGCAGAGAAGATGGATTTTTTTTCAGTTGCCCTGAAAAATCTTATTTTGCCATGTAATAATTACATTTCATGTTTATCTGCCTGTGTGCCTCCTGCTGTGGGATTGATTGGTTGCAGAGCAAGTCTCCCTTCCCAACATAGAATCTTGATCTCTTCCTATTTCATAATATATTTGCTTACTAAATACAGAACATATGAAGTAATACGGACTTTGAATTGCTAGCAGTGCAGGTTCCTCCAAAGTTGTCAAAGTTGCTGTTAGAAATTTGCTTTGGCCTTTAACAGATTTCAGAAACTTCTATCAGTAAAAGAAGTTGTACCACCAAAGGTACCTATAGGTCACACAAACACTAAAGCCATTTTCCTGCCTGGAGCTAAGAATATAAAGCAAAAAGTTCCTTTACTGTCACTTGCTGTTCTAATGATTTTAACTCTAAACTAGTGATGAAAATATTGGGCTCCTATTGCCATTATTTCATTTAAGTAATAGTGTGGCAGATACCCTCTAAATATCTAGAAAGTTGAGGTGAAATAAACAAAATAAGTCTTAAGAACATTACACAAAAGTTATGATTGTAAATATATTGCTGATAGGACAGGGTGTTTTTCTTGTCTGGCCTCAAAATGAAATAATATATCATAAGTATAATCAAAGATATTGGAAATTTTTTTCTTAGACAAGCATAACTGGAATATTTTGAGTATAAATTAAATGGTAATTGTGATTTTTTCAATTTTACTAATACTGAATCATAACTTATTCTGTTTCACTAATAACTGGATTCTAAGATGAGAATGCCCTAAATGGTGACTTATTTAAACAGCACTGGAAGATGTAGCCCTTGGTGTAATTTAAATTAATACTTAATTTATCAGCAAGTTTCTTGGGAGTTTCAGTAGCCTGACTCTGACCTTATTAACCATGGTTATGTTGACTAAATATGTTGGTTTTTAACTCACAAAAATATCTAGGTCATATATTTACCAAAATGCAGAGATCCATGAAGACAGCTCACCTGTTAACTTATAGTGCCATGGAGGTGGAAGTCAGTGTAGTATAGTGAATCAATTAGTATAGATTTTCTATCCCTACTCTTTGTACCTCTCACAGTATGGTTGACTGGCAGTTGGTATCATCAAGTTGTCTGTGACTCATTGCAACCCTATGAGCAACAGATCATTTCCCTGCTCTGTGCCATCCACACAATCTCTGCAATGTTCAAGATTGTTGTAGTGTCACTGTGTCACTCCATCTCATTGAGGCTTTCTTTCACTGATCCTCTAATTTCCTAGGAAGATATCTTTTCCTCCAATCCTCTTGTTACATTCTTCTTCATATGTCCAATTTCCTGATTTATTAACTCAGCAAACAGATCAAATAGGTTTAGTGGATACAGAGCCAACAAGGCAGATGGATATGGTTGATAAGAGAGTAAAAGGACTCTAAACCAGTTGCAATTGAGTCACGTGAACACTGTGTGTTCCAAAGTGGAAACTGCTTCATACGGTTCTCCTGGATGTAGTCCTTGAGGTGCTGACTGCCAGGCTTATCTTCCACACTAATGTTTGGTTGGATCAAGCTATCACTGTTCAGGTTAGTAGCTGAGTACAGTGTTTGCCTTACCCAGGGATGGTATAGCATACAATTCCTTCCTGCCTTCTCATTTGCCATTGGTGGATATTCCCAGAATCAAATGTTTCATACATAGAGAGGAACTTTTTTCATGAACTTGTTAGCAACATTAATGGACTCAAATATGGTATTTTCAAATTCACAAACATCAAAATAAATTATTTACAATCTTTAAATGACTACATTCCTGAGATCCTTAAGAACAACCATCTAAGTAACATTTCCACCAGATTCTGTAGGGAGAAAAGAGAGTAGCATTAAAACAAAGGTTTGAGAGATTTTAATGAACACAAATGGCCATGCCTCGTCTTTAAATCTGTCCAAAGCAAATGTTGTGAAAGCATCCTAATATTTCAGAGCTTCATCTGGCAGTGACCTGAGAACAAAGAGCCTCTCTCCTACATCATCACACTGATTTACTTTCGTTCCTTGATGTCCTGTGTTGGTGTTTGATTCCAGATTTCTCTAAGACAGAGGAGAGGGGGAGAAAAAGACAATTAAAACATTGAGCTATCATTCATTTGTCAGTTTGTTGAATGCTGGTGGCTTTAATGTTACTCAAAACTGTGCCACTGATATTTCAAATACTAGCAGGATCATCTATGGTAGACAGTTTTTGGTGGAGTTTACAGACTAGGTGGGAAGCAGGACTGGCCATTCACTTCTGAAATAATGGGCCCTTAATAACCCAATAAATAGCAATGAAGCATTGCTGATATAGTGTGTCTGAAGATGAGGTCCTCATATTGGAAAACACTTAAAATATGATTGGGAAGAGCTGCCTCCTCAAAGAAGAATCTATATCTAATGACTTGGATGGAGTAACAGTTTGAGCCAGTGAAGGGGCTTCGTTTGTTTATATGGCATCACTCAAAATGAAGAGGAACAGCTGCAAACATTCATTAATAATTAGAACATGGAATGTATAAAAGAATTCATTTATGAAAATTTGAAGTTGCCAAAAATGAAATGGAAAACATAAAGATCAATATCCTAATCCTCAGTGAATTGAAGTGGACTGATACTGGTACTTTCTAATTGAACACTCATATGGCCTGTTCTACTGGCAATGACAATGAATGGTGTCACATTTATCATCAAAATTAATATTTCAAGATCTATACTGAAGTACAGTGCTGCCTGTAATAAGATAATGTCCATGCACCTACAAGGAAGGCGTGTTATTATGGTGGTAAGTCCAGTTTTCACACTAACTACTAAAGCAAAAGATGAAGAGGAAGAATTTATACTAATTTCTGTAGGCTCAAAATGATCAAGTAAATAATCAAGATGCATTAATAACCACTGATGATTGGAACACAAAAGCTAAAAAATAAAGATTGGTAGGTGGAAAATAAAATCGATCATAGTAATGATGAGTGATGCCAATCTAAAGACTCAGATGTGCCTGATTCAAGTCACAGTATTTTAAATAACTTGCTATGCATCAGAGAGCTGGATAATGAATAAGGATTCCAGGAGAAGAATCAATGCATTTGAGTTGTGATGTTGGAGAAGGGTCCTGAATATCCCATGGGTTGCTAAAAACCCAAACATATATTGTGGAAAAAATGCAGCAAAATGTTCCATGGCAGCAAAGTTGATGAAGTTTGCCTCACATATTTTGGACATGTTGTTAGATGCTGTTCCTTGGAAAAAGACAGCACACTTGGAAAGGCAGAGGGTCAATTAAGGGGAGGAAGACCTTCAATGACATGGATTGAAATGGTGTCTGCAGAAATGGATTCAAATGTCTTGGGGATGATGAGGATGGTGTTGGGGATGATGAGGATGGTGCAGGATAAGATAGAGTTGAAATCTGTTGTTCATGATATTTCTATGAGTGATGCTCAACTTGATGGCATTTAACAAGAATCACAGAAATTAGTCTGGAGGTTGCATGGTAGAATTTTGTATGACCAATACCTTAGTCATTGCATGTACCTTTAGAAAACATAAATGACAACTAATACACATGACCTGGTGGATTACAGGAATCAAATAGACCATGTCTGTGTAAAGATATGGTGGAGATCCTCAATATCAGCAATTAAAAGAAGGGTAGAGCACAAATGTGGAATAAACGTTTGTCCATGTGGAAATTCAAATTGAAGATGAAAAATAAAAACAAACCTAAATATAAAAACAAATATTACCTTAAGTATATTCCATATGAATTTAGAAACCATCTGAAGATTTAAACCTGCACCACGAGAAAATAAAGTAGATGAATGTGACCTTCTAAGAATCAAATCCCTATGCCCATATAGACATTTCTCCAACAGGGTAGGAAAGAAACCCACATACTGGGAAAAATATTTGGCAGTGGCATATATGGTAAGAGACTTAAATCTAAAATTTTTAGAATGTTCCATCACCTCAACAAGAAAAAGATAAACAGCCTAATAACAAAGTGGGTACAGGATATGAATAGACACTTCACTAAAGAAGACATTCAGATGGCAAACAAACACATGAAGAAATGTTCAAAGTCCCTAGGTGTCAGAAAATCAAAACAACTATGAGATATCAGCTCACCCCATCAGCAATAACAATGTTCAACAGGTTAGCAAACAACAAATGCTGGCGAGATTGGAACGCTTATTCACTGCTGGTGAAATGTAAAATGGTACAACCACTATGGAAGGAAATCTGGTGCTTTCTCAAAAATTTGGAAATAGAAATACCATTGTACTCAGCAATTCCTCTACTGGAAATATACCCTGAAGAAACCAGAACCACAACTCAAATAGATATATGCACACCCATGCTTATTGGGGAATTATTTATAATAGCAAAGAAATGGAAGCAACCCAAGTGCCCATCAATAAGCAAATGGATAGAAAAACTATAGTGCCCTCATATAAGGGAATACTACACAGCATAGAAAAAAACAATGAAATAGTAAAACATTTCACAACATGGGGAATTTTCAAGGATATTATGCTAAGTGAAATAGCCACAAAAGGACAAATACTGCATAACACCACTGTTATAAAATAGGATCGGTGGGAGTGGAGGGTGTGTTGGTGATGGAATGGGGAAAGAGTGGTTAGATAATGAGCACTGCATTAGAACAGATGAGGGAAAGAATTGTCCACAAGGAATATATGATTATGCATTATATGTATGAGAACAGTCTGGAACAAGGAGTGCATTATGGGGTGGGCTGGAGAAAGGGGAAGAGAGAGGGGGAGAAAATGTGCAACAGAGGGAAAAATTAAATAACTAACATAATTGAAATAACACCAAAAATGCATTTAATGATAATACCATTACTGTTAATAAATAAATTTGAAGCATAGGACTTTCATGACCAAAGACCACAAAAACTGTGAGATGACATCAAGGACATTATACATTAAAGAAGCAAAATATTTTTTTTTAAAAAAGGCAGAAATAAAGCACCAAAATGATTCTCAGAAGAGACTCTGAAACTTGCTTTAGAATGTAGAAACACTAAAGTGAAAAGAAGTGATGGAGTAAGACAGCTGAACAGAGATTTCAAAGATTTCTTAAAGACAAAGCAGAGATGATAAAATATACAAAGATCTGAAGTTAGAAATAAAAAAGAAAGAGCATGGTCTGCATTTCTCAAGGTAAAGGAACTGATGAACAAATTCAAGCCTTGGGTTGCAAGACTGAAGGATTCTATGAGCAGATATTGAATGGTGCAGAAAATATCAAAGAAATGGAAAGACCACAGATAGTCACTGTGCTGGAAAGAATTGGTGGGCCTTAAGCCATTTCAGGAAGTAGCATATGATCAAGAACCAGTGATACAGAAGATGTTCAGGCTATATTGAAAGCACTGACAAAAATAATAAGGCTCCAGGAAATAATAAAATGTCAACTAAGGAGTTTCAACATATAGATACAGGAGCTCTAGACTGTGCTTAAGAAGTCTGGAAGATAGCTTCTTAGCCAACTAATTGGAATAGACACATATTTGAGCCCACTGAAAAAAGAAGATGAACCAACAGAATGCCCAAACTGTTGAATAATATAATTAATATCACACTCAAGTAAAATATTGTTGAGGATTTTTTTAAAATGGTTGGCACAATACATCAATGGAGAACTGTCAGAAATTAAAGGTAGATTCAGAAGAAGCCAAAAGACTGCATGATTGCATGATAGAATCTTGGACAACAAATATCATTAATGACATCAGATGGATCTTGGCTAAAAGCAAACAAGACCAGGAAGATGTTTATCTGGGTTTTAATGATTATGTAAAGGCATTGCTCTATTAATCATAATAAATTATAGGTAACATAGGAAAGAAAGATATTCCAAAACACTTCATTGTGAAACCTATGCAAAGATCAAGAAGCAGTCATTCAAAGAGAATGGGATTACTGCATGGTTTAAAAAAAATGTGTGTGTGTGTGTCAAGGTTGTATCTTTTCACTATACATATTCAATGTATATGCTGAACAAATACTTTGAGATTCAGATGGCAAACATTCAGATGGCAAACAAACACATGAAGAAACGGACTACATGAAGCTGGACTACGTGAAGAAGAATGTGGCATAAGATTTGGAGAAAGACTCATCAGCCACCTCTGATATTGAGATGATATAACCTTACCTGCTGAAAGCAAAGAGGACTTGAATGACATACTAAAGAAGATCAAAGACTATATAGCCTTCAGTATGGATTATAACTCAACATAAAGAAAACAAAAATTTTCACCATAGGAGCAAAAAAATAACAACATAATAGATGGAGAAAAGAGTGAAGAATTTCATTTTACTTAGATCCACAAGTAACACTTGGGAAAGCAGAATCAGGAAATCAGATAATGGATGTCTTTCAAAAACTAAATTGCAAGGATATAAATTTAAAGACTAAAGCATGCATAACCTAAATCATGATATTTTCAGTTATTTCATATGCACGTGAAAATGGGGCAGTGAACAAGGAAGATCGAAGAAGAAGAAGAATTGATGTCTTTGAATTGTGACATGGTTGAAGAGTATTGAATATCCCATGGATAGTCAAATGAAAGAACAACTCTATCTTGAAGTAAGTATAACAGAGTGCTCTTTTTAATTTGGTTTCATATACTTTGGGCATGTTGCCACAAGGAGCAATCCCTGGAAAAGGACATCATGTTTGGAAAAGTGTAAGGTCAGGGAAAGAGGAATACTTTCAAAGGGAAAGATTGACACAAGGAGCTAAAGCACAAAAGAAATAGTGAGGGCTTGGGCAAGGTTTCACTCAGTTGTCCCTGGTTCTCACTTTGCAGAACTCCCAAGAAAGTGAAATTATAATATATTTTAACTAATGAATTCTAAACACACATACCCACTATCTAAAAAACCTCCCACATATTTTTTAAAATGAAATTTCTCACCACACTGAATTCATTTTTGCCTGTGGTTTCTCTGTCTTTAGTTGCACTGCCTGTGGTACCTGATGGGAAACATTAGGGAAAAAGAGTTTCCTTTGAGAAAAGATGTTTTATTTTTAATTGTAGGACTTTTTACACTTACCACAGTATTATATAAATGTATCACTGCAGGACTGACTCTGTTTTTTGCATTGATGTGAAATTTTTAATTGTTATTTTACAAAATGACTCCATTAAATGTTATTTTTAAAGTTTGAGTGGCACAACTTTTTTTCTGTTGAGAAAATCTGTTCCATAGGGAAAAATGTAATAATTTGAGGATAATATCTGACTGAAAAGCATACTGGAGCCTCTGAAATATACTTCTAGTACAACTTTTAAATTACAAAGTGTGATGATGAATCCTCTAAGTCCTCAGATAATACAGATACATATTCTGCACGATGGCTTTTTAAAAAGTAAGGTCAGTTGTGAACAGGTGAGAACAAATAGAAGAAAAAAGGTTTGAGGAAGAGAAGAAGGTAGGTAGAGAGAATGATTGGCAGAAACTGAGATAGACAGGAAGGAGGAAGGCAATAAAAATGGACAAGAAGAATAGTGTGATACTACATAGGCTCTCTAGCTAATCTTTTGGGAGCTCTAGTGGTCCAGTGGATCAGGAGTTGGGATGTCAATTCAAAGGCACATGATTAGAATCTACCTGATGTTCCACTGGAGAAAGATGAGCAATCTTCTCCCATGTAATTGACAGCTTGAATCAGTTATGAGTTCCATTTGATTCAACAACACTTAACAACCAAAACAGTTAATCTGTACTAGGTTAGGTTCCTAGATTAATGTTTGCAGCGATGGACTCAGACATAGCAATGACTTTGAGGACTGTGCTGGTCTGGCCGGTGTTTTCTTCTGCTATACCTAAGGTTACCATGAATTGAAATCAACTAAATGGAATTTAACAAGAATGACAAAGATTAAAGTTGCCAGGTGAAATTACAAGACATCCAATTAAATCTAAAATTCAGTTAAATAATTTTTTGTAAAGTTTGTGTACAATTTTGGGGACACATTTTTACTAAAAATAATTCTCCATTGTATATCTGAAACTCAAACTTAACTGGGTCTCTTTTGTTTCTTTTTGTTTGGTAGTATGGTGACAGTCTCTTTGACATCCTGCTGCTTTCCTGAGATGCATGCATTGTAATCAGTTAGGAATCCATTGTCATTCACTGAAATAATGATAGTATTAATTAAGGTACAACTTACTTTCTTTTCAATCTTCAAAATTTATATTTCGAAAAAGATAATATTTCTCTCCAGGATTTCTAGGGCATTTATAGGATATTAAAGTAATAATTTCATTTAGAGAGCAACTTCATAATATACTAATACTGTAATCCTCATTTTGACATTCAGAAGATTCAGGTTGCCTCAAACCTTTAAAAGCCAGGTACTTGAGAGCAATATCACACTTACCAAGGACCTAAACTTGAGGTAGTTGTGTGTTCTACCCCTGCCTTTCAGTATTTTAACCTGACACTGCTATTTTCCTTTCAGCAGTCCCTACTGAAGTGTATTTCAGCCACCAGGAGAGTAAAATTAGCTAAAGCAGGTGGTAAAGGTTAAAGGAGGAAGGACGACTTGCTTTCAGAACAGGAGTTATAAAGTAAATAAGATCTCAAGAGAATTCATTTCCCATCTCGCAGGGCTTTTTCTGAATTTATAAGTATAGCATAATAGTCACAGCCAACCTTCAATCTCTTCTTGAAATAACTGAAAAAAATGCTAAGAGTTGGGGATTGGAGGGTAGAAAAGCAAGACTGTCAGAATCAAATGTCTTATCACCAGTTATATTATTACTGAAAGATAAACTTCTCCTTTAAATACTGGCAGATATGATGGGAAATGCAGCTGAATTTAAAAATTGCTTCGTGCCTGTTCTCTCTAAGATAGGTGACTGCAAAAGGCCACAAACTGCCCTCTTGACTCTACAAAAGACAGCAAAGGCTGTTCATGAACCTGTGTGAAATTGTAATTTGACTCTAGTGAGGAAGTAAATCCCTTAAAAAATGACCTGTCTCTGTGAAGGCCAAAAGGAAAGACTTCACCTTAGGTGTAAGCACCAAGAAAAAAATTTTCTCTTCTCTGAGACTAGATGATACACCATGCTAACATAGAAGGCTTGGTAAAGCTACACCCTGAGTCTCAAGGAATGTGCAAGTTAAGATTGTCTAAAGTACAAAAGTAATATTAACAGAAGATTTTGTTTTGCCAACCCAAGCCCCAGATACCACCACTGCAATGCAGCCAACCAGTACTCAGATCAGTGGGAGGAGGGATTCTTGGCCAGGAGCAGTGGGGTAAATCCTCCTCCTACTTGGAAACTCTTAAAACAGAAGCCTCTGTACTTTAATTTGCAGAGAGATGTGTCAAAAATGACATTCCGCTCTTTCTTTAGTAACAGATTTGTGAAATTCCATTTTTATATGAAGTACTTAAACTTGAAAACCAAAACCCACCAACTTGTGTGCAATTGACCAAACCAGTTTTTAATAGAGTGTCTCAGTCATCTGATTTATCTGTAGTGGAAAGAAACAATGATACATAGAGTTTGTGGAGGGAAGGTAGAATTTGTTCCAGTGGAGAAAACTAGTTCAGACAATAGAGTAAGGATTATGTAGACTATGACCTTTAGTATGTCTAATCAAAATTGGGAGCCTTTGGTGTCATAAAGGATAGCACAAAAAAGTAAAATTTGTTATTTTTTTACCTTTGACCTATTAATGTTTCACATTTTGTCAAAAGGGCAACAAGAAGGTCAATCTCTCCCACAGCATTTCATGCTTCTGAAATTACCATGCTTTGTGGACCTGAAGCCTAGATGTGGTTGGTACCACCTACTGGGCCAACTACAGAATTGCAGATTCTGACTGTCAACCTATTTTGAAATCAGAGATGTTGGGTTATTTGTTTTGTTTTAATTACTGAACAAATTAATGGTCTTAATTATGGAACAAATTAATGTTAGCATAATTCTTTAGTGTAAGGATTATGTAGTAAACAAGTGATGCATTTAGATTCATAGTGTTTATAGCTGGAACAGGCATGAGAAATCATATTCATTAACAGTTATTTTATGGAATAATACAGAAAATAAGTTTTATCTGGTTCTTTGAACTTGTTGGTTTTTCTCTACTATATACCTTATAGAGTGATTAACATAGTGATAAGTTTTTCTCATGCTGTGTAGTAGGTTATGATTGTCAGGTGTGTCAGAGACAATAAGGTTGACACAGGATAGAGCAGGATTTAGGGCTCTTGTACATAACGTCACTATGAGTTGCAAATGACTCAATGGCACATAACAACAACAACAACATGGGTTGTGTATTTTTAAAAGTTTTTGAGTCCTTTTAAAAATAAGACTGACAAGTAAATATATACTGATACGAATAAAACATTTTCATCCTTTACTCATGATTTCTCATTGCCTTTTTAAAAATTTTATTTTGTTAATTTTAATGAACATTTACAGAGATTTTGGATTTCCATTCATTCATTGTTGCAATTTTATCCCTGCCCCCCCAGTTCACTCTTTTCTTTGAAAAGTAAAAGAAAAATTCCTTCATTGGTATACAATCTCCCAGCATCCCCCACCCCTAGTACACTCCACTGTGCATTTCCTGTTTTAAAATACACAGTTCTGATTCACAGATACTTGAAAATTTAGGAATTCTTTCACCTTCTTAAAAAAAATCAATACTTTATTTCTATATTCTATAGTAAACAATAGGGGGAAATAAGGGTTCTGGTGACATAGTTCCTAGGAAATCGTGCTGCTAACCCAGAAGTTCTGATCTATCAGCAGTTGGGCAGAGAAATGGAAAATTTCCACCCTTGTGATTTACAGCCTCTGAAAATATTCTGGAAAGTCAAGAGCACGTTGTTTACCACTCAACAGCAATGATTAAGTATGAGATTGGTATGGTTTGGGATCCTGGGGGTTGGAGGTTTTTTTTGGTTGGTTTGTTTCTTTTTTCTTTTCTTTTGTATGGCAAATAATGATGCCATGTATTGTTAGCGAGAAATCATGGCACTTCACAGATATATTTGTATTGGTCAGATGTTTATCTCCTCGACCTTCTGCTCTAAAGTGACAGAGTCTTTTACAACAAGGTTAATTAGATTAAACAGCTAATTCCTAGGAAAAAAGATACAGGATAAGAGAAGCTTACAATTTATTGAGTGCCAAATATATATCAGCTGCATGTACTAAGCTTAGTAGATAATATATAGTATAGTATGTAGTATCTAGCCCTTAAAATGGATTGCAATTGGGGCAGGTGTGTTAGAGTCCGTGCGGTTGGCTCAAAGTAGGGCAGGTTCAGATCCACTGTTCATAGGGTTGTTAGTCATCAACTTGATGACACATAACAACAGTAGTCTTTAAATTAGAGAGCCCTGGATGCTTAGTGATAAGGAGCTAAACTGCCAACACAAAAGCACATGGTTCCAATCCACTAGCGACTCCAGGGTAGAAAATGAGAAATCTCCTCCTGGGCACTTTCAGCCAGTAAAAATGTGTTGGAGGGTCAGCTATGAAATGGTTCCCACTTAATAGGACAGAAGAACATTAGAAGTGTTGAAATTATCTAGTATTTTAAAAAAGAAAAATTTAATTACCCCTTGAGGGAATTCTTTCCTTTGTACAAAACCTTCTGAACAGTAATAAATGTAGTGATGAAATTTATTATAAGAACACCAACATTAGCTTAACCATATGCCAAACAGTGTACAGATCACTATACCTGTAATGACTTCCCTGGTGTAAAACAAAACAAGCCAAAGTCTAAGTCTGCACCTATGCTGCTCTGCCTACCTTGAGTCTCAGGAAGACTTAAGAATGCTTGTTTTGGCTCAAAATCCTGCTGTAAGTACAATGATAATTTCAGGTCATTGGCTTTCTGGTAGTTCTTCAAGGCTTCAATTTTCAGCTCAATCACCTTACCATGAGAGTCATTCTGCAAGAGAATATTTTTGAAAAATACTCATAGTATTGACTTCTTGAAATCTACTGTTAAATGAACCTTTTAAACTCACAAGTTACAAAAATAATCCGTCTCATGTTTAATCCTTTTTTAAAATAAAATTTTTCATTTTAATTGAAGTTTTGACCTTTGTCAAATTTGACTTTGAGTCTATCTCAACTGAATTTAAAAACCATCTCAGGAGTAAATTTGAGGCCTTGAACATTAATGAGTCAAGACCAGATGAGCTGTGGGAGGATATCAAGAATATCATCCAAGAAGAAGGCAAAAGCTCATTACAAAGACAGAGGAGAAAAAAAAATTAAAAAGACCAAAATGGATGTCAGAAGAAACTCTGAATATTGCACTAGAGTGCCAAGAAACCAAAGCAAAGGGAAGAAATCAAGATATTAAGGAGTTAAACAGAAGATTCCCAAGGGCAGTGTGGGGAGAAAATGTGCAAGGAGCTGGAGTGGGAAAATAAAAAAGGCTGAACTTGCTCAGCATATCTTAAACTGAAGGAACTGAAGAAAAAATTCAAGGCTTGAGTTGCAATACTTAAGGATGCATTGGGCAGAATATTAAATGATCTAGGAAGCTTTAAAAGAAGATGGAAAGAGTATACAGTCATTGTACCAAAAGGAATTGGCGGACACAGAAGAATTTCATGAAAGAACGTATGAGCAAGAGCCAGTGGTGATGCAGGAAGAAGTGATGGCGTACTTATCAACATACTTCAACAAACAGATGCTGTCCTGGATGTGCTAACCAATTTGTGCTAAGAAATCTGGTGGACAACTGCCTGGCCAACTTCCTGGAAGAGCTATATATTTGTTCCCATTCCAAAGAAAGGTGATCTGACAGAGTGTGGAAATTATTCAACAGTATCATTGATATCGCATACAAGCAAGCTTCTGCGAAGATTATCCAAAACCAACTGGAGCAGCACATTAACAGAGAACTTCCTGCAGTGTAGGCTAGGTTTAGAAGAGGCTGTGGTACTAGGGATATTATAGCTAATGTCAGATGGATGTTGGTTGAAAGCAGAGAGTACCAGAGGAATGTCTATCTATCTGTGTTTCATTGACTATGCTAAGTCATTTGACAGGGTAAATCACAACAAACTGTGGCTAACTCTGAGAAGAATGAATGGGAATCCCAGAACACTTGATTGTGTTCATGTGAAACCTATACTTGGACCATGAAGCAAGGTGTGTGCCAACGATGTGTCCTATCTCCATATGTTTTCAATCTGTATGTGGAACAGATTATCCAGGAGGTTGGGCTCTATGAGGAGAAGTGTGTCATCAGGATTGGAGGTAGGCTCACCAACAATCTGTGTTATGCAGATGACAACACTGCTTGCTGAAATTGAGGAGGACTTGAAGTGCTTGTTGCAGAGGGTCTAGGACTGCAACCTTCAATATGGATTGAAGCTCAATGTCAAGAAAACAAAGATTCTCACCACTGGGCCAATTGGCGGCATCATGATAGATGGTGAAGAGATTGAGATTGTTAATAGTTCAGTTTGCTTGGCTCTACAATCAACAGTCTTGGCACCAGCAGCCAGGAAATTAAAAGATGAATTACATTGGGAAAGTCTGCTGTTAAGGACCCCTCCAAAGTACTGAAGAGCAACGATGTCAATCTGGAGAATAAGGTATGCCTCATACAGGCCATGGTCTTTGCAATTACTTGCTATGCATCAGAAAGCTGGACAATGACTAGGGATGGTACAAGGAGAATTGGTGCCTTTGAGCTGTGGTGCTGGATAGGGTTATTGAATATATCATAGACTGCTAGGAGAACAAACAAGTTCGTCCTGGAGAGGGCGAAGCCAGGCTGCTTCTTGGAGGCACAGATTTTGAAGCTTTGTTTGACATACTTTGGACATGTTGCAAGGTGAGATCAGTCCTTGGAGAGGGACATCATGCTTGGGAGGGTGGAGGGACAGCGCAGAAGAGCAAGACTCCTGATGGATGGATTGATTCAGTCACTGGGGTAATGGGAGTAGGTGTGTCGGAGACAATAAGATTGGCATGGGATAGAACAGGGTTTAGGGCTATTGTAATAGGGTCTCTGTGAGTCACAGGTGACTCAATGTCATATAACAACAACAATTGTGATTTTAACAAAAGTTTACAGAAAAGTTAGATTTTCATTCATTCATTCATTGTTGAATATTTTATCCCCTCCTGTTCCCTTCTCTCTCCCCAAGTTCTTTTTTTTTCATATTTATTCATTGTTGCACAATTACCTCCCCCTCTACCCAGTCCTCTTGGCAATATAACTGGACTGCTGTCATATATGTATAAAGCCTAACCATATATGTTCAATCTTTATTTTTTAAATATATATTTATACTGGTTTACTTACAAGTATATGTTCAATCTTTAAAAGTTCAGCATAAAGTACCTATGATTTCCCCTGTTTCAAATAGAACAAAATAAAGCCTAAGAAAGATATGTTATTTGTTCTGAATTACCAAGATAAAACTAGAGTTAAGTCTCTCCAGCCATCTCTGCATGATGTATTTCTTAAATTATTAATCCAGATGAGGAAACTGGATTTAAATATTAAGCTAAAAGGTCAAAAGTCTGCTGCTATGGCGGAAGGATTGTTTGTAAGAAACATGAAATTGCTGCCCTTCAATAATTTTCCAAGTTAAGGGCCCCATAAGAATGAATTTGTGAAATTGCCACCAATGTTCAGTCTTGGAAGACCTTAGTACCTCAAGGATGTTGGTTTGTTCTCGATACCTGACCCACTCCATTTTCCTTTGTTGCTTTTCCTGGTGGAAGAAAGAGTATCTGGGTGTAAAAGTAAATTGAAATAAGAAATCAGTTTTTTCAGTATATTTCAAAATTCTTCAGCAACATTATGATGGTATAGAGCTTGTGTCTTAAGGATAATTATTCACTAAATATTGCTTCACCTATGTAGTCCTCTTACTGGCCACCTCATCTATTCAGCCTACTCTCCAAAAGCTAAAGTCTAAATGAATAGGGTCATTTTCTGTAAATGTGTTGGTTATGAAACTGTATACCAGCATAATACCTATAAATTAATTTTCAAGAATTCTGACATCATATAGCTATTACAGCATTGTCATTATTAATATAGCTTCTCCCACTCTACCCTTGCTAACATGACTTATTAGAAATTTTCAGTCACTCAGACTTAAATGGGAAATGAGTTGTTATTGTTGTTGTTAAGTGCCGTCAAGTCATAGATGACTAATAGCCACCCTATGAACGAAAGACCTGAACACTTGCATAATTTTCATCGTTTCTCCATGTTCATAGAGTTGCATAACAAAATTTTCACTGATTCAAGAACATACCATAGGTAGATTACTGTTTCATTAAATACTTCTAATATAGCATCTAAAATTCCACTGCCAGTTAAATATTCTTAGTACCTTTCTTTTTTCTTTTTTTAAGAACCAAAGTTTTAATAGAAGACTTTTAAAGATTTTTCAGGGTGACAAGTTTTATATATATATACTGGTTTACATACAAAGTTCCTAAAGCTCCTATATACTATTTTTCACACTGATCTTTCCTCTTTCCTAATCTACCCAGCCCCTCCACCCATCAAATTGTGTGACCCTATGATTACCCTTCTTATTTCCTTCACCTTCTCCGTACACGGTGTCTCTGGGTTACTCCTGGTCTTCCTAGTTGAGGAAGGGCTTTTTGGAGCCTGGTATGAAAGAAGAGAATTAAGAGAATAGGTACTCCCAGAAAAGAAATGCAGATAACAAATTAAAAATACCCTATTTCTACCCTTTTTCCTCTTCAAGCCACCCCTGGCTGTCAATAGTGTACTTTTAGCTGTGCAGCATCAGCAAGTTTCAAATTTTAAGTCTATGCAGTTCACTTACCTCTCCATCCTGCGAGTCAGTCTTGTTTTTTATCTGTGTTGCTTTTGGTTGAGCACTGGATTCTTCTTTTTCAAATGTCTACAGAGAGACATTTAGATAAGTTTAAATTTGTGAGAAGTAAGATATGGTCAAGGATTTCGGTTCTTGCCAGCAAGTATCTTTGCGGAGCCCGACATGAAATGTGTCCTATCAGAGAGTGCTCAGAGTCCTCTGCTTTAACCCTTGAGCATACCCTTGAGCATACTTTATAATAACTAAAACTGATCTAGTGTATGCCAGATACTACTCTAACTACACTTGAAACACCCCCATGGTATCCTCATAGCTCTTTGAAAAACCATTTTTCTTTCCATTTCACATATGAGAAGACTAAGACTTGAAGAGGCTAAGATTTTTATTTAGGGTCATACATCTATGGAAGTACAGAGCTAGAATGTGTGCCAGGTCTGATTCTGAGTTTGTGTTCTTAATCACTAGGCATTCTGCCAAGTCTCCATTTCTTTCTGAAAATATATGAGTATAGAATGTTGATTACAAGCTATGAGATATGAATATCCCTCATATAAAATTTTTGGGAACTCTAGAGAAACTGGATTTCAATAGAAAAGTTATGCTGAAACTTTTCTTGTAACAAGAACTCAAGACTACAAGTTAAGACATTGCAATTCATGGAGCTTATTTTTACCTGCTGCTGTTAACTAAGGGAACAGATCTCTACAAAATACAGTGCTCAAATGGTATGCTGATTATTTGTGGAAAGGTGAGATTAAAAATAGTAGTCAGAGATCACACCATACACCTGTTAATATCACAAGACACAATCTGCTCTTCCAGTCCTGCAATTTGTGAAAAACAAAAACAAAAAACACAAAACCACAAAAAAAACCACCACCAAAAACCCTCCCATCCCAAGGGCTTAGCTTACAAAGATATTTTCCTCTTGGCTTCCCCACAAAAAGCCCTGACGTTTTTTCCTTAAATAAAGCAGTGTTTGTTGAAAAATACAGAGAGATTAGAACTAAGTATTTGTTCACTGAACTTACATTTGCTGATTTTTTATTATGTACTAAGTATTGTCCTAAAACCAGCTTCCTTAGAGTTGATTCTAATTCATGGAGACACCCCCTCCACCCCTCACCCTTGTCTGTGTCAGAGCAGAACTGTGCCCCATGGGGCCTTCAGTGGCTGATTAATAAGAAGTAGAACACGACGAGCTCTGCTGGCTGCTGCTGCTGCTGCTGCTGCTGCTGCTTGTTGGGTGCCATCCAATTTGGTACACTTTTTTTTTCAGGTACAATTCTTAATGACCCTATTAGCAATCAATCTGAACCCTGTGACTTGAGGAATTGTGCTGCCAACCTGAAGGCAGATGGTTCAAATCTACCAGCTACTTAGCAGAAGAAAGATGGGTAATCTTCTCCCATACTAACTACTGCTTCTGAAAACCTCCTGGAAGGTCAGGTATGGGTCAGTTCTGACTGATTCTGATTCAACTGATTACCATGTATTTTTGATTAAGTACCTCTATGTGAACTTGAACTTCCAACCTTTTGATTATCAACCAAGCTCATTAATGGCTTACAGTACCCAGGGACTCCTAGCATTGTCCTATTTTTCAGTAGGAACTGAACCATAGCTGACCTTCTGGCAGGTTTTTGGAGGCAATTATTCACAGAAGTGGAGAATGCCTATCTTTCTCCTGTGGAACAGCAGGTGGGTCTGAACCATTGTTCCTTCGGGTTGCCATCACAACTCCTTACCACTAGGCCACCAGTGTTCCCTAGCATTGGGCTAGATGTGAGGAATTCAGAGAGAAACAGAAATAAAGATCACTGGAGATTATATTTTGGGGTTAGGGGTGAATCAGGAAGATAATCAATAAAAATACATATGATAATAGAAAAACACTAATTGTATACTATGAAAAGTGCTGTGGGTAACATTAATAGAGTCTGTGATAGAAAGTGGGATAGGGTAGAAATGGCCTACTTTAAATGAAGTAAACAATGAGGGCTTCTCTAAGGAGTTAACATTTAAGCTGGAACCTGAAAGATGAGAATGAGCCAGGCATGAGAAAAAGTATTACAGGTAAGGTAATAGAGCTAGAATAATGCCCTTGAGATAGAAAAGAGCTTAGCATGTTTGGAAAAAACCCAAAAGGATGCCAATATGATAATAGCATAGAAAGCAAGAGAAGGACTACTGTGAGAGAAAGCTGGAAAATTGGGCATATGCCACAATAAGAAACAGCTATAAGGGCTTGAATTGGAAAGGTGATATGATTTGATTATTTTTAAAAGATTATTTTGGCTACTGTACAAAGAATGGATTGGAATGAGGCACAGATGAAAGTAGAGACATGAAAAAAGAAGAACGGGGTCAAATGAAAAGGAGGTCCTTTGCATTATGCTCTGTAGAACAATACTTTCAAGATATTCTTGGAAGCTTACCTTTCTCCATAACATCTCCATTTCCTTCCGAAGCATCTTGTTTTTCCTTTCCTGTTGGAGAGATAAAAATACCCAAACCAAGAAATTGAAGTGAGTGTGAAAGAAATTACTAAGTATTTATATGAAAAGAATACAGAGATATATAACAGAAGAATGTAATAGACTAGGCCTCTCCTGAAATCTAAGTGCATAAGAGATAAGTTTGATGTGGATGTTAGTAAATTTTTTAAAGAATAACTTTATGAGAATTGTGGCATGATCCCAATAGAATATAAGTTCCTCACACATTAGATGTTCTAGTCACACCGTAATTTTTTTCTGAGTAACCACAAATTTCTAATTTTTAAGATCCTTTTTTAATATTAACTTTTTTAATAATTAAAAATCTTTCAAGGCACACTATCTTCTTTTACTCTGGTAGGTATTTCCTACACTTTCTGAAATGTGAAAAGTTAATATTCTTCTTTTACCCCTAGATAAAAATGAAAGAAAACCAAAGTAAATATTTTGTTAGTCAATTCTTTTTCTTCACAATGTTCTACCTGAATCCTTTGGAGCACTTTGGGCTTTCTAGATTAGATAGTAGAGACGGGTAGTCTGTCTTGTTTTAACATCTGACAAAAGTAATAGCATTGAGCCCTATGGAGAATCCTGTTTCCTGGAGTGCCTACCAACAACTTACTAGGTTCTGCTTCATTTCTTCTGCTTCCTTGATGAGCTCTACAACTGAGGATTTGTCAGCTCCCTTTCCTGCCATGATTTGCCTCATGATCTGGAGACTAAAAGGAAGAAATAATAAAACATTTGTGCTTCCTTTAGGTTAATGTTAATATTCTGCAACCAGTCCAAGAGCTATGGGAGTTATAAGGATCCAAAAAGTCACTGGAGTCCCACCAGACAAAGAGAGCTCTATAACTAGAATTGCATCCCTAACTAACATTTGTTTTAGCTTCGTGATCTATAGAGTTCTTTTCTCTGTAATGTTCAAAAAATAGGTCTCCAACATCCAGGTATCATTATGACCACGTGGAAGAGAGAATATTTTTATTTATTTTTTGCAGGAAAAAATGAATATTTCTTCCTATGAGGCGGGTGGTGGTTAAGTAAAATAATTTGCTGTCTTCAAGGTAAAACCCGGAAAACCCAGAATCCTTTCCTATCCTTATCTCTTACCAACCTGCCTTTATCTCACTTGCTTTTCTATACAGAGAGTTTTCTGGAGAGGCCGCCTATACCCTTATGGTTGTCACAGAGGATCAAAGTGATTAAGAAGTTTCCAACAAAATTTGGATCAGTACCCATGTGGTCCTAATTACTGAACCAATAGGCAACATCCTTATAGATGGAGAAAAGATTGAGATTATGAATTCAAGTACGATGAAGTAGATGACAATCAGTACACTTGGGACTAGCACTCAGGAAATGTATTACACTGGGAAAGTCTGTAGTCAGGGGCCTCTCCAAATTGTTAAGAAGCAGTGATATCAGTTTGAGGACTTACATGTGCCTGATTCAGGCCATGGGCTTTTCAGGTACTTGTTATGTATATGAGAGCTGGATAATGAATAAGGATAATGGAAGAATTGATGCTTTTGAATTGTGGTGTTGGAGAAGAGTGTTGAATATTCCATGGACAGCTAAAAGAAACAGATATGTCTTGGAGAAAGTGCAGCCAGAGTGCTTTTTGGAGTCAAGGATGGAGAAGCTTCATCTCACATACTTTGGGCATGTTGCTAGTAGAGGTTATTCCTTGGTGAAGGACATCAAGCTTGGGAAGATAGAGGGAAGATGGAGGAGAGGAAGACACTCAACCAAGTGAATTGACATAGTGACTGCAACAATGGGGTTGAGGGTGTCAGAAACTGTGAAGTGAAGATGGCACAGCATAGGACAGGGTTCAGGTCTGTTGTTCATAGTGCCACTGAGTTGTACTCAACAACACCTAACAACAATCCAAGTCTTTAACTATGAGAGAAAACACTTTTTAAAAATGAATTTGTTTTTGCTTCTTGTGCCTTCTTCTTCTCAGTTCCAAGTAGCGAGCCAGGTAAAGAGCTGGTAAAGACCACTCTCTTACCTTGAAGAAGTCTAAGTTACTGGGTTAGAATCAGCTGATGTTTAATTACCACCTTCAGCTTGTTTTTTGCTCTTCAAAGTTTTAAGTTCATTGAGATGCTTATGAGGGTAGAACAGAGAGGTAGATTCATTGAAAGGAGATTCCCTGAAACTACTAAGGATACAGAACTAGTAGTTAATGTCTTAGTAAAGAGTCAAGATTTTGTTTGTCTAGAATCTTGAACATACCATGGACCACCAAGAAAACAGATATGTCTTGGAGAGGGTGAAACCAAGTTTTTCCTTGGAGGCTAGGAGTTTACACTCCATCTCATATACTTTAGGTATGTGGCCAGGAAGGACCAATCCTTGGAGGGGGATATCATTCACTGAAGGTTGGAGGAAAGGCACGGGAGAGAAAGACCCTCAATGAGATGGATTGATACAGTAACTAGGGCAATGGGGGTTCGTGGCTCAGGACAGGTTAGGCTTCAGAGCTGTTGTACACAGGGTCTCTATGAGTCACAGGCCACTTGACAGCACAAACAACAACAAGAAGTATATTTTAAACTCATTGGCATTGAAAATCTACGGGAGGGTCAACTATGGGTCAGTTCTGACTTGACAGTATAAAACACCAACAACAACATTGCCATTGAGTCAGAACTGACTTGTAGCTTAACTTCCAGAGGCTTTTCAGAGGCTGTAAATGACTGTCCATCTTTCTTCCTTCAGTTCAACTGGTGGACTAGAGCTACTACCTGCCTTTGAACTGGCAGCAGAACTTTTTACTCCCTAGGCCACAACAGCAAATCATTCGGGAAGCTAGACATTATGAAGAAGAATGTGGTGTCAGGATAAGTGGAAGACTCATCAACAATTTGCATTATTCAGTTGCTAAAAATGAAGAGGACCTAAAGTGCCTGTGGCAGAGCAAAGAGTACAGCTTTCAATATGGGTCACATCTTATCATCAAGAAAACAAAAATACTCACCACTGAGCCAATAGGCAACTTTATGATATATGGAGACAGGGTTGAAATTGTCAACAATTTCATCTTATTTGGATCCACAATTAACATCCTTGATACCAGCAGTAAAGAAATAAAACATCGAGAAAATCTTCTGTCAGGGACCTCTCCAAAGTTCTAAGGAGCAAGGCTGTTTGTTTAAAGACTAAAGTGCACCTAATTCAAGCCACGGTATTTTCAATTACTTGCCATGCATATGAAAGTTGGGCAATGAATGAGGATAGTAAAATAAGAATCATTGCCTTTGAGTTGTGATGTTGGAGAAGAGTACTGAATATTCTATGGAATGTCTAAAGAATAAACACATATGTCTTGGAGAAAATGTAACCAGGCTTTTCTTTAAATGTGAGGATGGTGAAATGGACCCACATCCTTTGGGCATGTTGTTAGAAAAGGTTGGTTTTGGAAAAAGACATCGTGTTTGGATTGGAGGAGGGTTAGAGAAAGAACCTCAGAGATGGATTGATACAGTGACTAACAATGGGCTCAAGTACATCAGAGATGATGAAGATGGCACAGGACAGGGCAGAGTACAGACTACTGTTTATTGGGTCACTGTGGGTCATATTCAACTTGATGGCCTAACAACAATAGTATATTTGGGAAGGTGAGACCCTAATCTGCAGAGTTTCTAGACTCTGTAAAGGTTGCTATGTCAGTTGGCATGCAGAGAGAAGAATCATCTTTTCTTAATAGATTCTGCAGACATGAATAAGGATGCCGTCAGTTTGACTATGATGGACTGAAGATTAAAGTCCCTCTTTTTCCTATGTAGACATCCTTAAGAGGCGTAACTTAAGTAACTCATCTCATAGGAGACGGGCTCTGAATTACATTTTGTTTTACTAAGAGAAAAGAAATTCTTTCTTGTGCTTACTTAATTTTTTGGTAATAAAATTTTTATCTACTACTGAATTTCCAAGTATCTTTTTTTAAAAAAGAAATGTAGTAATCATTACTAATCTTGTGGAGATAGGTTCTCCAACTTTTTTACCTCAAGAAAATTTCTTACCTTCTTTGTTTTTCTTCCAAGTTACATATTAACTTCTGGCATAAGGGGTTATTTTTATCTTTTAAGGGTTTAAGCATCTCTAGCAGTTCCTGCTTCCTTAACTTTAAGTCCTCATTCAGTTCCCTTAAGTAGTTGTCTTCTACTTTAGAATGTCTGTGGGAAGAAACACCATTAATGCTATCCTTAGCCTGGGTTAATAAAGACCCTCTCTCCCTTCTGAGTGTTACCATTTGTCAACTCCCATCACTGACTCACAAAGTTTTTGAGGACAGGTGTGAATCTGAAGAGTTTGCACCATTCATCGTCTTGAAGGAGAATATCTATTTTAAGAATAAAGAGGACTTTTTAAAATATCTGCATCTTCTTTTTCCATCAAGTTAAGTCATCATTTTTCTGCTGCTGTTCTTGAAACCCCTGGTACATTGGACAGATTTAAGCTATAGCTTGATGTCACAATGGTCCTAAGACTGCAAGATCAACAGGACTTTCAAGTAACTACAACATCATTGGTCATTTGTAGTTTTTGACCGAAAGTGCTACTAACTATTAATGAATTCTTGCCTCAGCTTTAGCCAAATGTTAAACACTTTTATTCAGAAGTCTTTGATTGAATGGGGGAGGGGGGATTACAGCTACTGTATAGAATATATACTGTGTTGTGACCTGTAAAGAATAACTCATCAGTTCCATATTCCATGGCAACACATCTCCAGGAAGTGCCGTTATCTATATGGCACAGTGTTAGATCCTAAGAGGAAAAGGTAAAGACACAGCACTTACCTTCTTGGGTTCTTAGGAGACGGAGGGGTACCTTTAAGAGACATTTAAAAATAAGAGGGGAAGCCAAACTGTCAAATATAGGATATGAAAATAATAGTAATATATGAGTCAATTTATATAAATTCTCTTTAAAATTTGTATGTATTAGTGACAAGGCAGAAGAATAATGAAGATGTAGTGAAAGACTATTATTCTGAATGATCCACACTGTCAATATATGCTTGGATAGGAAGACTATTTCCTGGAATTATCATCTCCAGATTCTAGTTCTGCCTTCAGTGACCTTTCTCATTCAGCCTTATGTTTCCTGGACCCTATGATTTTCTTTCTTCATCTCTTTCACATAATGAGTAGAAGATTACCCAGCATAGTTTATACATTTGTTTCTTCATGTCCTTTAAACACAGTTTCAGGTTAATACTGATAATATGGTGCAGGCCATAGTCTTTCCAGTCACTTTCTTTGCATCTGACAGCTGTACAATGAATAATGATGACAGAAAAATAAATGATGCCTTTGATCTATGGTGTTGGAGAAGAGTGCTGAACATTCTATGGATGGCCACAAGAATGAACAAATATATCGGAGAAGGTGCATCCAGAGTGCTCTTTGGAGGCAAGAATGATGAGGCTTCACCTTACTTACTTTGGACATGTTACTAGGAGGTGTTATTCCTTGAAGGACATGATGCTGGGAAGGGTGGAGGGTTGGAGAAGGAGAGGAAGGCCCTCAACCAGGTGGACTGACACTGTGACTGCTTCAATGGATTGTTGTATGTCAGGAAGTGTGAGGATGGTACAAGATAGAACAAGGCTCAGATCTTTTGTTCATAGGGTTGCTATGAATCATACTTGATGGCATCTAACAACAACCACAACTGATAGTGAATATCAAATGTGTCATTTCAGATTAAGTCACGTCAACTTCAAGTATTAAATGAACATACCCCAGTATTTCTAGTAACAAATCTTTATCTTCTGGGAAACCTTAAAGGCATAGTACAGTTATAGAAATAACACAATATTTCATTTATCAGGTGTTGGTTTGAACATCATCTTTACTACCTACCAACAGCCTGACTAAGCAAGATATTTAATAATTCAGTTCCCACTTTTATAATATGTTGTGGTGGTTGTTTTTAATTGAGCATGACTCATACTGACCACACGAACAACAGGCACAAACTCTGTCCTATCCTGTGCCACCCTCACAATATAAAATAAGAATTATAGCATTGGTGCTGTAGACCTGTTGTGAGCATTATGTAAAGTACCTGGCACACGTTGTAGTTGCTGTTAGGTGCCATCAAGTTGAGTATGACCCATAGCAACCCTATAAACAACAGATCTGAACCCTGCCTCTTCTGTCCTGTGCAGTGCTCACAATCTCCAGCCTATTCGAGTCCATTGTTGCAGTTAGTATGTCAACACATGTAGCTGAGGATCTTTTTCTTTCACTCACCTTTCCAAGCATGAAGTCCCTCTTCCAAGGAATAGCCTCTCATAGCAATGAGCTCAAAGTATGTAAAGTGAAGCTTTATCACCTTTGCTTCTAAGAAGTTCTTGGCTGCACCTTCTCCACAACATATCTATTTGATCTTTTGCAGCACATGGGGTATTTAATATTTTCCAATGCCATAGCTTAAAAGTATCAATAATTCTTCTGGCACACATTAGGAATACATGGTTTTGGTTGGTTGGTTCTGGCTTGATTAAGAATTGTTTATTGCCTTAAGCCAGTCAGATATTTTAAAAAGAATGGAACTATGTGATCCCTTCATTTACATAGTCATCTTTCAAACACTTTTTGCCCAATTTTTTTATCTATAATGTCTCTCTGGAGATTAAGGTGCACCTGATACAGGCCATGGTCTTTGCAATCGCTTGTTATGCATCAGAGAGTTGGACAATGATTAGAGAGGACAGAAGGAGAGTTGATGCCTTTGAGCTGTGGTGCTGGAGAAGAGTACTGAATGTACCATGGACTGCCAGGAAAACAAACAGATTCATCTTGGAGAGGATTAAGCCAAGCTACTCCTTGGAGGCAAGGATTCTGGGGCTTCGTCTGACATACTTTGGACATGTTGCCAGGAGGGACGGGTCCTTGGAGAGGGACATCATGCTTGGGAGGGTGGAGGGACAGCGCAGGAGGGGAAGACCCTCTATGAGATGGATTGATTCGGTGACTGGGGTAATCGGGATGGGTGTGTCAGAGACGGTGCGGTTGGCGCAGGACAGAGCAGGGTTTAGGGCTGTTGTGCATAGGCTCGCTATGAGTCGCAAACGACTCGACGGCACATAACAACAACAACAACATAATTAAAAAAATTATTTTAGAAAGAAGATCCTCCCAAATTATATATATGGCAGGGCCTGCAAAACTGGATCTTCCCTTGGTTAGATAGTACACATATCTTTCCAAAACATCCTCTACATCAAGACTTCTCTTTAAGTGGTATCTCAAAGCACTTTTCTAAAGCTTATGTATCTTACTTTTAAGTTTAGTGTAATATTTAGTATAAGATGATATTAAGTTAGAACATCAAGTGAAGTCTTATAATTTATACTGGCTACTGTAAGGTTTCTCATGAATAGTTTGGATAGTATGAGAGTGAGCAAACTCTTCATAGTTTAAAGAAGGAATTGAGTGGGCAGATGTTCTTTAATCTGTATATCAGTCGCTTTTTAGACTGTAGGTGTACCTGGTGATAGCAAATAATAGAGGTCAAATAAAGTAGTAGGAAAAAAAAATAGAGGACAAAAATGACATCAATCACTAATGCATAGCCTCCTTAAATTTCATGTTGTGACATTTGGTTGGGAGAACCATATTAGAATTTTAAAACATTTAATGGACAGGCAGCATCCCAACTAACCTTCCTTTCTGCCCTTGCTTGAGAATAATTGAAAGTGGAAGAGCATTTGCTATTCTGATGGCCTCTTTTCTATAGCCAATCAGCACCTTTTATTTCTTAAATTCCAATGCCCATTTCTTCAACTCACAGCACTTCCAAACTTCCAAAGAGAATGTTTACCTTGTTATAATGTACATAGACTTTTAGTGAAAGACTTAAAGTTGAGAAATGACATTGAAAGGAGACACTAGATGCACGTATCATCCTCAGAGGAAGACGGGCGAGAAGTGCAGCTATGTTAGAAGAAGAGGGAAGCGAGTTGAACACTAATGTTCCTGAAGCTGAAAGTTATCTCTTGATTTAGGAGGTGCGGTAGGAGATTTGGATTAGCACTGTGAGTGGTGGGGAAATGAGCCAACTAGGGAAGAGTAAAGGGTTTGCCAAGTATGCTAAGGGTCAAGGTGAGTTTGGTAATTGCAGAATTGGCCATGGAATGACTCAGCAATTATACTTTTCTCCAGCACTACTTGGCAAACCAGAAGTAATAGTTAGGAAGAACAGATGGTTATTTTGATTCTGGGTTGATTCTTGGCAGCATGGAAAAGCAAAAGTTCAAGGAGCGAGGAGTATCATAGAGTTCAGGCTACCAGGGAAAGAAATGATGACAGGTGGTGACCAAGAGAGATAGAAACCAGGAAAGTGCTAAAATTGAAGCGCGTAGGAGTGAAAGAACAGGAGGTGTTTGGTCAGGAAACAGTTCTTATAAAAGAACTTGTAGAACCTCTTATCACTGTTTAGATAAATTATAGTAGCAATTCATAGGATATTTCCCCCTTGAAATAAAATTGTGTCTGTTGGTTTTTTGTCACTGCATAATATTCACTGAGATTCATGTGGTACCTCAAAATAGGTCTTATAACAAGCTATTCACAGTGACCTCATCCAACATTATAGCATTTGATTTTTGTATCTGTTAAGAAAGCATGATTGCTCTATAATTAGAGAACTCAAGAGAAATACATTTTAATGTTAGTTTTACCAGTGGAAAATCAGATTACTCTAATTAAGCCAGGTCTCCAAGAGTAGATGTAATTATTTTCATATTAAAGCAAAAATCCAGAGACTTTCTTATCACCTCCCTCAACTTTGGCTGTAGAGACAAAATTAAAAAATTCCTGTGGGGGAAGGGATATGAGGACTTTATGGTTCTTTCTGACCCAGAGTCAATTCAACCCTTATGGGGATTATAAGAATCCCACTAACTGAAATAAAGAGAAAGATGCTGGAAATGTACTAATAGCAAAACTTAAAGGCTCTTAAAAAAATCACTTACATTACATCGTGCTGTTTCTTAGGACCTATTGTCTTACGCCTTAATACCCCTATTGCATTCCCAACAAAATCCTGTGCATTACACAGTACCTTGTTGACCCAAAGGTTTAAAGTTTGATATAGGCTCAAAAACTGATGGAGAATTACTTTGAGTCTGAATTGACTCATTGGCAATGTAATAGCAATCCAAAGCTAGGCTTACTGTATATTGTTGTGAATCAAGGTAGTTGAGAAGATTAAGACAGATAAAACAGATACTGGAACTCTTTTTTTATTTTAAATTTTTATTTTATACTGGTTTATTTACAAAGTTATATATATTGTTTTTCACGCCAGATCTTTCTCATTTCCTCA